CAGGGTTACGTGTTACAGACACACAGGATTGGCTTCATAGAAATCACACAAAGGTAGTTCAGCATATTCTCAGGAATCTGGAAAAATATTTAGGCTACAATTCCGCAAACATGTACATGCTTAACCTGATGCGCTTAAACTCAATGGGTCACAGTGCATAGGGTTAAGCATCTGCATAATTATTTTGCAGATTAAGGGTCTTCATTTATTATTTGCTAGCTGATGGTAGCTAGGTTGTGGGGCACTTAGGGATAGCTGACTTTGTTTTCAAAAAACTTTCAGATGACAACTTGTGAGAATAGCTAGCGATGAACTTATTATTATGCTCATCCTCCCGCTAATCTTCGGTCCTACTGATTATCACACTCACTTATGGCCTCTTTGTTTCAAATTTTATCTTCCTGTGCATTTGTACAGTGCTTAGCACAATGGGCTTTCAGTCTAATATAGTAATAATAATCTGGACACTAGGCAGACTAGTTTCTGATTCAGCAGATTCATTGGTTCTATCATGTCCACTCAGTTTCTCTTTTATTTTATTTATTGGACCTGGATAGAGGGGTGTGTGAAAAAGATCCTGACATTACATATAACAAAAGGATGTTATCCACTACTTTTCCTTTTCCTATCCCCATACCTCCAACACACACATTCAGATTATTATGGTTCAGGAATAACCTATGAATCCAGTTTTGCAGTTTTGATTTGACCATACATTTGGTTTTGCTAACTTGGAATTTTTTTGATAGCATGGCACTATAAAATTGCTTTTATATTTTTTCATCTCTGCTGAATAAACATAAATGCCTATGTAAGATTGCCCAGAAAATCTTATTTTATTTATGTCACTTGTGAAACTTACTCAGGTGGCTGTTCCTTTTAATTTCTCTTGTGATCAGATACCCATAGTTTAAGGCCATCACTTATGTTGAAAAATGAAATAGTACAGAGCTGAAATTGTATTTTCAAACCTGGAGGGGAAAAAATTGTTCATATTGTACATCTTCACTATACCGTATTAAATCTTAAAAAGGCTTTTGTCATGAGATATAATCACCTAGTGCTCTGTACAGAGGAAATCTTGTTTTCTCCTGTTCTGACAGCTGAACTTCTGCTGAGTTTTCTTGTTTGATTGTTGTGTGGCCTATTTTGAATTTTTTCCCCATGTTATTTCCAAAGTACCCTAATGATGCTGAACACTCCCTTTCTCTTGATTCCCAAAGTGATGGGGGCATTTCAATAAAGAGAATGTTAAATATGCAGGGTGGCCTGTGTTGATTAGTAAGATGGGCAGAATTCAATTTTTATTTGTGTACAGTTTTGATGGACAATATCAATGTTTATTTTTAAGGATTTTTTTTATTTTTATCAATTTAAATTTTCACAGTTGTGCAAAAGTATGGGGTTTGTGCATTTTTCCATTTTTATCCATTGAAATTTTTACACTGGTGGCAAATTGGAGTGTGTGGCACACAATGGTGGGGTCAGCCAATAATTATTTCGTGGCAGTAGATGCTGGGATTCAAAAACGTAAAGCTTTATAACACAAATTGTCAATATCACACATCATAATTTATAAAGTAAATATCCTGAAATCAAACTCTAATAAGTTCTCAAGCAGCATTTTTTGCATTTGCCTATCTGTACATTTTGATGATTAGTGATGGAAATACTTTTTCGTTGGTTTGTATGTGTGCGGTGAAATCGATGTTTACCAACTGTGACAGGGCACCTGCCCTGCACTGGCCGTGAGAGGGTTAAAACCAGCCTAGGGAGGCTGAGCGGCAGGCAGCCAAAGGA